TACACACACTACACACACACACACACACACACACACACACACACACACACACACACACACACACACACACACACACACACACTACACACACACACACACACACACACACACACACACACACACACACACACACACAGCGATTCCATCTGTGCTCTATAGATTGTCTGTCGGCTTTGATGTTAATTACGAGAAAAGCTGACAAGCTAAAAGCTTGCCGTACAAGTTCGCCACGGCTCAAGATCTCTCACCCAGCGGCCCCTTCTGTATTTCTTTCTCCCTCTCTCTCCTTTCTCTATCGCCATTCCCGTTTCTCTATCTCACTCTTCATTCGCTCCAATAATATATCTGTCTGTTTGTCCGACCGTCCGATCATGCATCCATCCATATCTGCATGCATCCGTCCGTCGTCCGTCCGTCCGTCCGTCCGTCCGTCCATCCATCCATCAAAAAAACACCCACCGACCCACCCGCCCATCCATCCATCCATCCATCNACTTGCAATCGTTCTCAAGTGCATGATAATAGTTCGAAGTGGCGTGGGCTATCGTGCGGTGGACACATTTTCATTTTTTATTTTATTTTTCATTACATTCAGGTCGTTTTTCATGACCTAACAATACAGTGCTTGCACTAATACCATCTAACAATTTTTGTAAGAGTAAGTACTTTTTGGGAATTTACGTGTCGGCGGCCACTCGCCAAACGGAATTTACACTGAGACCTTTCGGTCGAACGATATTAAATTGCGAAATTAACTCCGAAATTTACAGGTGCAGTCAGTATTTTACTTTCATCTCGCAAACATCAACGGCGCGACCCTTGCCGATCATGGGCTAAACACGGTTGGACGAGTCAGGGGGACGAAGCAGGTACTCGGAAGTCAGTCCATCGCGCTTTAGTGTCCGGCCTAACAATCACGGTGGTAACGAAGCAGGCGGGCCCCGGCGAGAACGTCGGTCAGTACGTTCATCGGACTCTTATCATTTCGCCGCGCGGAGGGCAGCACCGCCAACTTGACGCCCTTGCCGGAATATCTTGCTCTGTCCGGCCCGGGCGTAGACGAAAGAAGCTCTAACGCTCGAGTTTGCAGCAAGGTCATTCATGTGTCCCTCCCCTCGATCAGCATCCCGAGCGGCTTCCCGTCGCACCCTCGAACACGCTCAGCAGCATCACGGCGATAGTACGGAGCCCAGCAGGACGAGAAGGCCGACGACGATCGCTGAAGCGTTTCGCCAGTGCTTATTATAATGATATAACTCGCGAGGGAGTGACGGACACACACTTACTATGCTTCATCATACAGGTTTTCCAGTGGCGTCTTCCGTACGGCGATATGTTTCTCGCCGGATCGCCACACCGTCATGACGACCGCTACGCTTGGAGTCTAGCTCTTCTTTCCTCAAAATCCGTCACGTCTGGGAGAGTGAACAGGCCGAGATCTGGTGACGACTCGGCGTCGAGAGAGGATAGCCTTTGCATGGCGGGACCAAGGACAACATGCCGTAACACTCGGGGACAATATGGCGAAGAGCACGCGCAGTAGGTGGTGAGAAAGATAAGGTGGCGTTGGGTCGACGTAGGTGGAATGCATCAGTATGGTGCGCATTCCATATGGACAGCCAGGCCTGATTTAGGTGTGGCACCAATAGATTCTATGAAAAATACACAATGAAATCACACGTACGCAATCGGAGAGAAAAGGTAAAAAACATAGAGGGCGGTAGCGGTGAGAGAGGAGACGACTAGAGAGAAGGAAAGAAAGAAGAGGGTGAAGGCAGCGGAGAGACGAGGGATGAGAGCGACAGACAAAGGAAAAGGGGGTAGACAGATATAGAGGACAGAGTCAAAGCTTTAAGTACTACGTGAATTTGCTCAATCCTCTCGCTTCCAGCCGCTACGTTCTAGCACCGAGCGGTTCGTGGATCGTATATTCACCATTAAATTGTTGTTTAAATGACGATAATGATAGGTGCGTAATGTAATCATCTGTTTTTCTCATTTGAAATTCTTCACTGGAAAACTGGTCGGTGGACGCCTTGGCATAAACAAATTGCCTTAGATGTACGAACCAGTGCTAACGGAGTGGCTCGAGGGCGAGTTACCTAACATGTCTAGTACTCTGTCGTGAACGCCATTACTTTTTTCTTTATTGGCTTTTAGCGGACACTCGTGCGACTTGAATCTCTTGGCCGCCAGACGACTGCTGTAGAGATACACGTACGGAGGCCTACGTCATCCACGCCGGTACGTATTATCAATAGCTAACCTTTACGGCCATATCCACACCCAGGCCGTATAGCAGGGGGCGTTGGGGGGTTCGACGACCCCCCCCCAGCCAAAAATAAATAAATTGTTGAAATTTTGCAAAGATTTCACCTCAGGTCGCGCTCCATTTATAGTGTAATAATTGCAAATCTCCATCGTGCGGCATGAGGCGTGACAGTGAACACTCCCCTCCCACACCTCCCCCGCTCTCGGTGCTTGGTCCCTGCCTTGGTTCGCTTCGCCGCCCCGAGCAGGGGGCGTGTGCAGGGGGGCGTCCAGGGAGTCGGACCCCCCTTGGCTCGCGCCAGAAAACGCATCTGAAGGGTTTAATTTTTAAAAGAAAATTGGGGGAGGGCCCCAGACCCCCCTTCGCGTGCTCCAACTTTGGGTTAGTTACGGTTAGACCCACCCCTGTGTACGAATCCTGTACACGCCCCTGGCGAGCAAATTGCCAACATTGAAAAACGAACCCCCCCCCCAATATAAAGCTGGCTACGGGCCTGCTCAACGACCCGAAATACTTCCCCGAACCGGAGAAGTTCCGCCCGGAGCACCACCTGGACGAGCGTGGAGACTTTGTGAAGAACAAAGCACTGATTCCGTTCTCTATCGGTAAAATTACTAGTGCTACCGTTAGCTGGCGCCACCGGGTCGAGGAAAGGAGAGTGACGTCATATGTCAAACGACTGCAGCGGTGGCCGTCGTTAGGGGGTGTTGCTATCCCCCGGGCGTGGAGGGACAGTCACGTGATACAGTTGACGTATACTTCAAAGTCCAAACATTCCACAGAAAGATTCCACAGTCATACTTCCGTACTAGACATGGCCTTATATCCCTAACCCTAACCCTAACCCTAACCCTAACCCTAACCCTGATCCTAACCCTAATCCTAACACTAGTGCTGTCACATTGCGGTACTGTCCCTCCACGCCCGGGGGATAGCATTTCCCGTTGTTAGGGTAACCTGTTCGGTTGTTGGTTTGGGAGATGCTAATTGGGCAATGCACTATAACCCCTCTTCTGAGAGCAGATTATGATTTTTAACTTCCCCCATAGGTTCTTACACTTATTAATTGAAATGCAGTAGCTAAAAATTAAATATTCAGACTTATGTTATCAGGTGGCACTATTAAACCTAGACAGACATGAGCTTCAGCTGTATTCCATTCGATTGTGATCACATCTGTTTACGTATTTGTTATCTTCATCGCCATTATCGTTTATGAAACGATTTCTCGAAAAAGGCCGCGAATGCATTTTAAGATCACGGAATAACTCGAGCCCTGAACGTCAGAATTCGGTGTCACGCCAAGACTACCCCCTCTCTCCACCAGCCAAGCTTTGAAAAACCTCCCTAATGATGGCCTTTGTTATTTGCCGACAGGTCGTCGCGTCTGTCTGGGAGAGGCTTTCGCGCGAGTGGAGCTGTTCATATTCTTCACATGCATTCTGCAGAACTTTGACATCAGGCTATCAGATGGCGTTACCGATCCGTCGATGGATGGAACCTTAAGCGCCACCTGGATGGCAAATCCGTATCTGTTACTTTTCGTCGCGAGACAGTAATCCACAATGATTTCAAACACTCGCAACGTTTCAAAAAACAAGGTCGTACGAGTGATAAACCTGTGGTGAAACGCTTGCTATAAAACTGCATTATCTTACATTTTAACCTGTAACTAAACTGCGTTACCCTACGTTTTTATCTTAACGTGTGATTAAACTGTGTTATCATAAGAATTAACCTGTGATTAAATTGAGTTATCCAACGTCTTACCTCTAATTAATAAAACCTGTGATTAAATTTCGTTATCCTGCACGTGGTACTTAAGATTAAAACGTGTCATGAAGCTTTTGTTAGAATACGTTAAGGAGATATTTTGCTGATTAAATTGTAGCAGCAATTTAATTTGTGTGAGAAATGTCAGGGGGGGGGCACTTAAATAATCCTGCAATTAGAAATAATATTCTCTCTTTAGGTTTAGTGCAAATAAAACTTTTATCTTTCAATTCAAACTACTGCAGTCGTAGCTTCATTATATTAATGATTGTAGTACAAATTCAATTTGTGTACGAAACATTAGAATCCGTACGCGATATGTTTCTCGCCGGATCGCACACCGTCATGACGACGCTACGCTGGAGTCTGCTCTTCTTCCTCAAATACCCTCACGTCCTGCGGAGAGTGCAGGCCGAGATCGGTGACGTCATCGGGCGAGAGAGGCTACCTTGCATGGCGGACCAAGACAACATGCCGTACACTCGGGCGACAATAGCCGAAGAGCAGAGAATAGGTGAGAAAGAAAAGTGGCGTGGTCAGTAGGTGGAATGCATCAGTAGGTGGCATTCATGGACAGCAAGCCTGATTAGGTGTGACCAATAGATTTATGAAAAATACACAAGAAATCATACGTACGCAAGGAGAGAAAAGTAAAAACATAAGAGGGGTAGCGAGTGAGAGAGAGAGAGAGAGAGAGAGGAGAGAAAGAGGGTGAGGCAGCGAGAGAGAGGGAGAGAGCGACAGACAAAGGAAAAGGGGGTAGACAGATATAGAGACAGAGAGAAAGAGAGAAGGTCAATAGCTTTACGATTCAATAAGTACGAGTTACGAGTCAATAAGTTCAATAAGTATACGCGAATTGCCTCACATCCTCTGCTTATACCGCTACGTTCTGCAGGCGGTTCGTGAGGTATTTTCACTTTAAATGTGTTTAAATGACGATACATGATACGTGGTAATGTAATCATCTGTTTTTCTCATTTGAAAATTTTTGGAAAAGTGTCGGTGGACGCCTGGATAAACAAATTGCCTTAGATGTACGAACCAGTGCATAATGAGGCGAGGGCGGTTACTAAATGTCTAAATACTCTGTGTGAACGCCATCTACTTTTTTCTTTATTGCTTTTAGCGGACATCGTGCGACTGAATCTGGCCCACAGCACGACTGCTAAAGCCCGGGTCACAGCAGATCGTACGAAATTTTGTCGTGGTAGACCCATAAAATATTTGTCGTGGCCAGATCTTGCAACATGCCCGAAATGTATAGCGAGTGGTCACAAGGACTACGACACATTAAAGATGGTTTGGCGATGGGGACGCAACAGAAAAAAAAGATATGTCGTGGTTATGTCGTGGGTGTATCGCAAGTCAGTCGTGCGACAGTCGTGAGTTGTCGGGCATTGTCGGGGGGCAATTTTGCCTCACGACGGCAAGTCGATGCCACGATGCTCAAAATTTCGTAGGACTGTCTTGCGACGACCCCCGATGACCCACGATTTGCCCAAATTTTCTGTCGTGTCGTCGCACAAATGCGTCGTGGGCTCGTTGTGACCGAGGCTTACGATACAGCTAGGAGGCTACGTCATCCACGCCGGTACGATGATCATTGCTAACTTTACGGCCATTCTCAACGACCCGAAATACTTACCCGAACCGCAGAAGTTCCGCCCGGAGCGCCACCTGGACGAGCGTGGAGACTTTGTGCAGAACGAAGCACTGATTCCGTTCTCGACCCGCCACCGGGTCGAGAAGAGGAGAGTGACGTCATATGTCAAACGACTGCAGCGGTGGCCGTCGTTAAGCCCCGGTCACAACGAGCCCACGACGCATTTGTGCAACGACACGACAGAAAATTTGGGCAAATCGTGGGTCATCGGCGGTCGTCGCAAGACAGTCCTACGAAATTTTGAGCATCGTGGCATCGNGCTTACTGCAATAAGAGTGAGAGATATCGTCATCACTGCACGTGCCATTACGCAAGTAAATTCTAGCAAGTGTGGTAAATGAACCCTGACTGCAGAGTGAGAGGCCAGGGAGTCTATAATAGGGGGAGGTGCCACTCTACTGTAAAAGTGAAATAATGGCACTACTAGCGCCACCTTGCAACCGGTTGTGCACACTACAGAGAATTTTCGGTATGGCTGCTACAGCAGTACGTGGTGGAGTTTGGTGTGGAGCTTATAATTGTTTTAATGCCGTAAATAAAAGGGAAAACATATCATTCTTTCGGTTCCCTAAAGACAAAGACAGGTAAATGATAGAGATAGTTGAAATTACAGGGGGATTTTTACAAAATGTTATATTTATAATAATTATTATTAATATCATATGATATACAGTGGACAAATAAAATAGTACAGTCCTTCAAACTGACATTAGCTTAGGGTTGGGCCCTTTCATGGAATTTTATAGGATTTCAAATACTGAAAAAGTTCCTCTACCGGCTGGCATGTCTGGTACCTTGTTTATGTAGACTAGCCTCGAGAGACTAGCCTACTGATTGTCAACACTGTATGATATTACATGGACCAAACACTAGCTGTACTATAGCTGTATCATCAGTGTACTAGTATACATTGTCATGATTGACAATGAATGCCATGTTTGAAATATTGAAATCTTGAAAATCTACCGTAGTGATGTGAAACAAATCATGGATTGTGCTTGGATGTCATATGACAAGTTTATCATTGGTCTATAGTATTACATATTTTAACCTCGACTCTTGCGTGAAATGAATTTCAGATGTTTGAAGTGGGTGCAAAACTCAAGATTAGAGTCGCTGAGAGGGACACGAAACTCAAGATTAGAGTCGCTGAGAGGGAAGTCACCTGAAGAGCTAAATAAAAACTACAGGCTTTGTTCGGTACATTTTGAAAAGTCGATGTTTATGAATGTGAAGCAAAATTCCTTGGTGTGGGATGCGGTACCAACTGTATTCAACATTTCCAACCCACCACCTTCTGTTACACCAAAACGACATCTTCCAACACGCAGGGATTGTCCACCAAGAAAACGAATCAAACGAGGTAAAAACAAGTACTGGTACAGATAAATATTTAGCAACATTTCATCATGGGTTTTCATCGAAACTGCTGTCGAGTGTTCAACTAGTAAACATTTGCTGCTGCATGTCCTAATCATATCAAAATAATTTTCTAATGTGTTGTACTGGTACCGGGTACTGGATTTAATTATTCTAGTTTCAGATGAAGACTTTAATAAATTATAAACTGGTAGGATTATAAATCATTACATACGTATACCTCTAAATTTAGATTTCAGAAATATAAACAGAATAGAAAACACATAAATTACTAATATTACATAATAAGTACCTAAGGGTACAGTGGTTGTGGTGAGAACATAGTGATGGCTGTATATTCGAAATAGCTTACCATTCATATTGTAAATTGATTGCCACTGATCAGCAGTCACATGTGGTATCATTATGATAAACTAAAGCATTGCTGTTTGATTAATATATCTATAGACACTATTTTGTACACATTTTTAGGTACCATTATGAGTATTGACGAGACTCCTGCAGATGACAGTACCAACTACATAGAAACATCAACAATACCTGTGGAAACACATAGAAACATCAAGCTCTCAAATGACGTTCGACGACAACGAGTCATTATTTCTCGGTTGAAGAAAAAACTCAGAAATGGGGGAAGACATGTTGGAATGAGTTCGATCAAAGCAGTCGTCAAAATGGCAAGTGAATATCTCCCCGATCCGTTACTGAAGTTCTTTGAAGGTCAACTTGTGTGTTCGAAGCAAAAAGCCAAAGGTCGCCGATGGAGTGATAGCAATAAAATGCTGGCATTAGGTGTCTACTACCAGAGCCCAAAGGCATACAGGTTTCTATCAAAGTTCTTCATCTTACCATCTGTTCGATCAATTAAACGTTGGGTTCAGCATATTAACCACAAGCCTGGATTTGATAACACTGTCTTCGACATACTAGCGAAACGGTTTGAATCCATGTCGGATGTTGACAAATCCTGTGTCATCACTCTGGATGAGATGACATTGAAAACTTCATTGAAATATGATAGCGCTGATGATAAAATTGTTGGTGTAGAAAACTTTGGATCCTTGGGACAAACCAGGAAGTTGGCTAATGAAGCTCTAGTGTTTATGGTCAGGGGTGTAACAGTGAAGTGGAAACAGCCAATTGGATTTTTCTATGCATGTGATGCCACCTCTGGCGCAGTACTGAAAATATTACTAGATGATGCCATAGAGAAGGTAACAAATGCTGGTGGCCTAGTTAGATGTGTCGTGTGTGACCAGGGATCAACAAATAGATCGCTATTCCAGATGTTGGATGTGACTGTTGAGAAACCGTACATTGAAAAGAATGGCGGTAAGATATACTTCATGTATGATCCCCCACACCTGATAAAAAGTACTCGCAACAACTTACAGAAATACACTTTCAAAGTCAACAATGAAATAGTGAGGTGGCAATACATCAAACAGTTTTTTGACAGAGATTCGGGTCTACCAATCAGAATGTGCCCCAAATTGTCGGTTAAACACATGCATGAGAGTGACAAGCTTCTCAAAGATGAGAGTGTGTCTTGCAACCCAAATTCTCAGCCATTCTGTATCGGCAGGTATCATGACCTACATTTCTCTCGGTGCCTTACCCAAGGAAGCTGAAGCTACTGCACTTTTCATTGCCAAAATGGACAAGATATTTGACTGTTTCAATTCTGGAAAACTGAAAAACAAAGTGAAACCACATCGCGCTGCTATGTCAAATGAATCAGTGCATGTTACATTTCTGACAGAATGTATTTCATGGTTCAACAACGTTGTTCCTCTCGGGGCTAAATCTGAACTCTATTTTCTGAAGGGATGGCAGCTGTCATTGTCTGCATTGCTACAGCTTTGGGAGGACTTATCAAAAGACGGACTGAAATTTCTGCTCACAAACCGATTGAATCAAGATTGCTTGGAGAACTTGTTTTCAGTTGTCAGGCAAGCTGGTGGATGCCGTGACAATCCTACACCAGAACAGTTTGGTTATGCATATAAACAATGCTTGGTCAATGCTGCGCTGAAACCGGCAAAGAATTCCAATTGCTTAGCAGACCAAGACACTGTTCTTCTGACATTTTCCCAGCTGTCTGATGCCAGCAAAATGTATCATTATGATAAACTAAAGCATTGCTGTTTGATTAATATATCTATAGACACTATTTTGTACACATTTTTAGGTACCACTATGAGTATTGACGAGACTCCTGCAGATGACAGTACCAACTACATAGAAACATCAACAATACCTGTGGAAACACATATAGAAACATCAAGCTCTCAAATGACGTTCGACGACAACGAGTCATTATTTCTCGGTTGAAGAAAAAACTCAGAAATGGGGGAAGACATGTTGGAATGAGTTCGATCAAAGCAGTCGTCAAAATGGCAAGTGAATATCTTCCCGATCCGTTACTGAAGTTCTTTGAAGGTCAACTTGTGTGTTCGAAGCAAAAAGCCAAAGGTCGCCGATGGAGTGATAGCAATAAAATGCTGGCATTAGGTGTCTA